ACTTCATTCCCTTTTAGAATTTGGTATTTTCATCTTATTATTTTGAAGTATTTAAAAAAAACACCCTTCATATAAATGGCCCAAATCTCATTCCAAATTATGTCTATTCATATCATCTTTTTGTCATCTAGTGGCATTAAATTAATATTTGAATATCTTTACATTATTCTGTAGTGTTTTCATGTTTCCAGTTTTAAAAAGTACTTAATCCCCTAATCTATTTGGAATTTATTTTGACATTTCTGTGGTGAAGATTTAGTTTAATTCCATACCTACCCAAAATGTGCAAGTTTCCTTGTATATTCTACCCCAATTTTAGGTGTAGTCTTGTTTTATTCATTCTCTTCTCATACTTAAAGCAATGTAGGCATTCTAGGCATTTAGCAATATATGATTTTTATATTATGTGCTTTATTAATATACATATTGTTTTACTTTTCTTCTTTGTGTTGTGTTCTTTTTGATCATATCATTTGTAACACTTTATATTTGGCCAATATTTCATTGCTTATCTTTTTTTAAATTTAATTTTATTTATTTTACATACCAACCACAGTTTCCCCTCCCTCTGCTTTTTCCTTCCCACTTCCTCCATTCATCAGAAAGGGTAAGGCCTCCCATGGGAGTCAACAAAGCATGGCATATCAAGCTGAGACAGGACCAAGCTCCTCCCCACTACTTCAAGGTTGAGCAAGGCATCCCACCATAGGGAATAGGTCCAAAGAACCAGCTCATGGACCACGAACAGATCCTGGTCCCACTGCTAGGGGCCCCACAAACAGACCAAACTACATAACTGTCACCCATCATTGCTTATCTTTAACCCAAGTTCTTTTAGTATGCTTCTTACAAGAAACATGAGTGAGATGTACTTAGTATGAATGTATCATCTCATGTAAGGAGCATGTACTTGAATTATTGGACCCATGAACTTTTGCCTTAGGATTGAAAAGTAAATGGGAATTTGCTCTATTGATTTACAGTGGCACATAATTGTATGCTAATGCCTTATTCATGACAGTTGTTGTGCTTTCTTTTTACTACCTTGTTTTTTCTGCACTTGTTTAAATGTTGCTTTATAATTTCAATATTACACCTCTGCATTTTTTTTTAAAAAATGTCTATTTAAAAATGTGCCAATGTGTATGACAGAACTTCATCTCTGACTACACAGAATGATCAACTCAAATACTATGGTACTGGTCTTCATCTACCACTTTAACTTTTCAAGGTGGTTTTCCCCTGTTTCTTTTTCTTTCTCTACTGTGTGTGTGTGTGTGTGTGTGTGTGTGTGTACACATACATGTGCAAGTGTGTGACATGGTGACTTTCTATGTAGCACCCAGGTTATCCTTGAACTCACCAGCCCCCTGTGATTACAGGTGTACCTCCTTGCCTGGCCCACCAGTTCCTCTCTGTGGGCCACAGTTGTATGTAGATCAGTTACAGAGAAAGCAGGAATACACATGGAACTGGACAGATGGAGATGTTTGAGGTTCAGACATTTAGCTCTAAGCAGAGCATTGTTGTGAATTTATAATAAATGACACAAAGTTAAGATACACTTTGGAACTGAGATATGGCTTAAAGTGTTGCCTCAGTTTCCCCTGAGAAGATAACAAAGTATAGTCCAGGTTGAGATTTTTATACCTTTTTTGAAGGCTATAATTTTGTTGGTTCTGTTCTTATGGATGTCCCCCACCTAAGATGCTAAGGGCAAGAAGTGTTCAGATATCATTGTTTGGATCTGGATAGATATGTGACTTTCAAGTTGAACATCCCTAATTAAAGCATTTAAAATCCAAAGGGCTCCAGAATCTGAAAAGTTT